TGGGAGAGAAAAGGACCCTGAAAAGCAGATCAAGAAGGAACAACCAAAGAAGAGGTATAAACCAAAAGAAATCAGACTGTGGAAGCTAAGGAAAAAAGGATTTGCAAGAGAGAATCATGACTAGTGTCCAATGCCCTCAGAAGACACCCAGTGAATTTGGAAGATGTGCTTTGCATTTGGCAGTTAGGAAAGACATGCTCGGGGATCAGGGTGTTCCAGCCAGGGGAATGCAGAGAGCAAAAGTGATGCCACAGTGGCTTAAGAGCAAACAATGGGTGAGGAAGTGGGGAAAAAAACAGATGAGGAGAGTTTTTTTTTAACTCAGCAGTGAATGGAAGCCAAAAGCACATTAGGTAGAGTGCAATGAGGAAGGAAGAGGGAGGTTTTGTGTGTGTTAAGGTAGGAGGTATTTGTATCTAATCCTGTAGAGAGGGCTGCCTGGTTAAATGGAGGAGAGAAGAACAATGTCCCTGAAACTGCAGCATGAGGACACACAAACATGGTACTGAACATCCAATAGGAGGTGGCTATCCTATTACTGCAAAGAGAGATAAGGTGGGAAAAATTGGCACAGTCTGAATACATTTGTAAGGATGAAGGTTTTCAGAGACAAGACATTGGAGAGTTCCTAGCATTTAATATTATCTTGCCTCTTAAAGGAGGCAGATTCTTCGGTTGAGTAAAGATGAACATTAATGGTTGATATGCAGGTGGTATTACACAACTGTAGGCACTTAATTTGACAACCTGCTAACTACGAAGTAAAGTGTCTTTGAACAAATGTCAATGGTAAGAAGCCATAGCCATGCCACTGTAGTGTCTTAAAGGAAATTCAAAGACTTTCTATTCTGTGTTGTGCATGAAAACTGTTAAGTTTTATAATCACCTTATGCTTTTATCCATCTTTCCATACATAAAGCAAATTTTCTTTGTATTTAGTATTCATGTGATCATAATTTCCAAAACAACTTCCTTCTAAACTCCTATGGTCAAAGAATTATTATTGGAAAGAGAAAGAGAATGAGTGTGTGTGTGTGTGTGTGTGTGTGTATCTCAGTTCTCTTCAGCCAGAGACCATCAAGAACATACCTATAGTTGAACAAGTTGAGTTTATTATTCACTGCAGCAAAGAGAATGCACATTGTATGATACCATGGGCCATCTCAGTAAGACGGTGTTAGACCTATCGTAGAATTTGGGCTTTGGTTGGATAATTTTAGGGGGGATCTGGGGAAGCAAGGACTTGCTGTGTATGGGGTGCTGTTAGCAGGAAGGACAATTCTGTGACTGAGTATCTCATGAAATCTTACTGGGAGCACAGAGTAGATTGAGGAAAAAGCTGTAATTGGTAAAGTCATTCAATGAGTGTGAGAGGAGGATGTCTGGTATCTTGTGGGTTGCACAGTGAACTTGTTTTTGTGTCACTTTACCATAATCTCAGAGTGACTTTATTTGATACAGATACTGTATGAGATTATATCCCAGAGATGAACACAGGTCTGACTCTGAGCATCAGAGCAGCTTATAATAATAATGAGATCTAGCTGTTAAAGCCAGATCAATTCTGGACTTCAGATACAGCCTTATTTTTCATATATTCATATTCATATATACATACCATGTGTGTATATATATATACACACACACACATTTATATCTTTAACTCTAATTTATAAATGAGATGCTTATCTTTTCCTTCTTTGGGTGAGTGTAGTTTTAATATGTATTGGCAAAAAATTTAAAAATCCTTTCAGAGTGTAATAGTTTATCAGGATATCAAAACTCATTACTTGAGGATATACTTTTTCAGCTGTATCAATAGCATAGAATGCACTGCTGTTTGTTATGTTATTGGGGAGTGAGCAGAAAACAAAACATTCTTGCATTGATCCAAGTAGGGAGTGGGTGGTGGTAGGGACACAGAGGGTGGACATTTTGAGAAATATTTAGAAAAGAAAGTGGACAGAACTTGATGTCAGAATGTAGTATGTAGGGAAGGCAGAAGAGTGAAGGATGATGCTTCGGTTTCTAGCTGAGTAAGTTTCAGTAGGAAGTGATGTTCCTACCAGGATAGGGAAGAAGGGGGGAAGTGACAAGTTGGGGGGGGGTAACAAATCTTCCAGAATTCCTACAGTAGCAAGAATCTGGTTGAGGGGAGGCTGATTGCTTCTAATAAGTCTTGTAGGTGCCTACTATCTAACAGAATAATAATTTATTATTTGGTTAACAGCAAGAACTCTAACTGCCCAAGGAAACAAAATCTTAAATTCTTTTGTCTGCATGTTCTCTCCTGATAAGCAAATCTATGTAAATGACAAAATTGCCATCAGGAGACTGTTTGATCAGGGTGGGGACGTAACAAGGGAAGCTAGCCTGGGTATCTTGGTTGCAATGGTTATCAAGGTATGACGTCTCTACTGTAGGGTTTTATGTGCCCAGTATATGGAAACACAGGTGTGACCTCAAAACTGTGTCTTGAACCTTTGTGCTGAAATGTTGTATGCCAAAGATGCCAAAATGGATATCTGCTGGTTCAAAACTTTACATTTTATAGAACTGATCTACAAGTTTTTAATAGAAACAGTATGAAGGGAGGAGGGGAGAGAAGGAGGGAATTAAAGTATGTCTGTAGGGTGCCTGGGTGGCTCAGTTGGTTAAGCGACTGCCTTCGGCTCAGGTCATGATCCTGGAGTCCCGGAATCGAGTCCCGCATCGGGCTCCCTGCTCAGCGGGGAGTCTGCTTCTCCCTCTGACCCTCCTTCCTCTCATGTGCTCTCTCTCTCTCATTCCCTCTCTCAAATAAATAAATAAAATCTTTAAAAAAAAATAAAATATGTCTGTAACCACACATAAATTAAAAGACTTCCTTTACCTATTTTCATTCTGATGTCCTGAACCTGTATAAAGAAGCAAAATACAGATGAATTTAAAAGGCAGCTGGCCTCATTGATATGTCAGCTGTTCAGGGTTGATCAAGGAAATCTGACATACTAAATTTGCTCTTGTTTTGTTTCTTTTTATCATTGTGTTTTTGCTTTATATTGGGAAAGACTTTTCCCCGGCTGACTTCTCCCAGCCCTTCAAAACAAAACAAAACAAAACAAAAAAACCACTGTCTCTTGCTGAAATTTCCTTTTCTTTCTTCCATCTTAATATTTTGAGTCAGAACATACAATTAAATTTTATTTAGAGCTTTTCAATGAGACTTGTGTTCTCTATAAAATTAAAGCAAAATCGTGTTTATTTTTGCTTGTAAATAAGTGCATGTGATGTATAGTTCTATTTTATTAAATTCATATGTGTGTTTGGAACTACATGCCATTTTCCCAGATGAGTATACTGTGAAAAGTCATTTGGATAAACCTACAGAAATGGAAAATCTCTAACTAAATGGCGATGGTTGTGCTAGCTTTCTGATTACTGGTGTGGAAGCAGCCGGAGAGCTTGTGGCTGCTTCCTTAGTTTTCTTGGACAGTGGCCTAATTTTACCTTTGAATAGAAGGCTTTACTCCTCTTTTTAGACCCTTCTTATATGCCTGATCTGTTACTGAATTGTTCATGTGCCTTTGGGAGTCTAAGTTCTCTATTCATCAGGATCTTAAGAACATCCTGATAATAGTTAAATCTGATATTTATATTACTAGGTTTTCCTCAGGCATTGCTTTTCACTGGTTATTTTTGTTTGAGCACGAACAGCCCTTAAGGCTTGTATCGTATAATTATTCTATTATGAGTGAGACTGTTACACTATGTGAAAAAATACTGGATTCTTTTTGAGTTAGAAGGTATCTTAGAGAAAATCTTAGAGTGTAATCCTCTTGCCCTGTATGCCAAACAGGTGAGAATAAAAGAATTGGGTGACTTCTGAGTTTCCTGAAAGGAAAAGTATGATTTTTAAATATATAATTATGAATTAGGATTTTCAAAATTATAATTATAAAAATCATTACTTTTCAACCTATAATTTTGGGACTTAAAATTAATGAACATTGAGTTGGTAAACCAATCGACAAATAGTATAGTTTTTATGTTTTAATAAAAATTAAGCAGAAGGCTGCATGAATAATGAACACATTTGTTTTTCAAAAAGATTTATTTATTTATTTTAGAGAGCACACCTGCATGTAAGCATAAATGGGGGGAGGGGGAGAGAGAGGGAGAGAAGCCGACTCCCCGCTGAGCGCAGAGCCCAGCATGGGGCTACCCCCCGAGATCATGAACTGAGCCGAATTTAAGAGTTGGTAGCTCAACTGACTGAGCCACCCAGGCACATCGTTTTTAAACTATTTAACATCCTTTCCCATTTAAGTAGATATAGAGAAGGTTGTCTTTTTGAACTAATTATTTTAAATTCACATTCTTTAATTAAGAAATAAAATGCCTGAAGTAAATTTTTTCAAGCTGTCAAAACTCTTCATTTTTGCAGTAATTCATTAATTGAGTAAATGTACTATGACTAAATATATTTTAGACAGCTTTGTGAAGATGGAGTAATCATTCTTCAATTAGGACTGAAATTTGTAGTTGGAAGAAGAAAAATAGTTTTATTTCATTATATGAATGTATTATTTTGTGATATAATTACTTCTTCCAGAATGGGATTTTTTTTTAATTAATAGATTTTGTAATTAGGAAGTACTCTAGAATTCATCTGATTCAACAGCTTCAATTTACAGACAATGATATTGAGAACCAAAGTGCAGAGGAATTATCCAGGGTGACATATTTGATTAGAATAAAGCCCAAGTCTCTCTTGTTTCATTTGTCTAGTGCTTTTCACGCTGTAATGTGTGTTGTTCTCTCTCTCAAAACCAATCTAGATGTTTAAATAGAAAGGGAGGATGGGCAGAATGCCAAAAGAAGAGGATGTGAATCCCCGTTTTCAGTGAACCTGTTAAGTTTAGGAGTTCATTTCATGGGTCTCCAGCATTTGTTCTTAAGATACAGTGCTTCTGTGGTGGGGATAATCATGCTAATTAAACTGATTTTTTGCCTTTTAGGTGAGAGTTACGTGTGTGCATCAAATGAACCATTTCGTAAAGTTGATTACACCAAAAATATTAATCCGAACTGGTCTGTGAACATCAAGGGTGGGACAACCCGAGCCTTGGCCGCTCCCTCCTCGGTGAAAAGTGAAGTGAAGGAAAGTAAAGATTTCATCAAACCCAAGTTAGTGACTGTGATTCGAAGTGGAGTGAAGCCTAGAAAAGCTGTGCGGATCCTTCTAAATAAGAAGACTGCTCATTCCTTTGAACAGGTGTTGACAGATATCACCGAAGCCATTAAACTAGATTCAGGAGTGGTCAAGAGGCTCTGCACACTGGATGGAAAGCAGGTAAGAGGGTTACTGGCCCTCAGCTCTCCATCTCACTGTTAAACTCTCCCTGTATCATGGTGGTTACGTATTTGACAGAAAGAATTTCAGAGTTTGCTAGAAATTATTCTCATACTCCTACTGCAGAGGGGTGTGTGTCTGTATTAGCTTTTATCATGAAAAATGTAAGTGGCTTACCTGTGTCTTTGCCCAAACATCTTAAAAGTGTATGTGGAGAAATCTGTATATCTTATGGTCACTGAAAGGGAAATGTAAACAACTTCGTTTTTTTTTTTTTTTAAGTTTGTATTTAAATTCCAGTTAGGTAACATACAGTGTGATATTAGTTTCAGGTGTACGGTCTAGTGATTCAACACTTCTATACAACACCCAGTGCTCATCACAACAAGTTCACTCCTTAATCCCCATCACCTATTTAATCTATCTCCCCACCCACCTCCCCTCTGGTAACCATCAGTTTGTTCTCTGTAGTTAAGAGTCTGTTTTTTGGTTTGCCCTCTCTCTCTTTTATTTCCCTTTGCTCGTTTGTTTTGTTTCTTAAATTCCACATATGAGTGAAATCATATGGTTATTTTATTTGTCTTTCTCTGACCGGCCTATTTTGCTTATCATAATACTCTCTAACTCCAACTATGTTGTTCCAAATGGCAAGATTTCATTCTTTTTTTATGGCTGAGTAATATTTGTTTGTGTGTGTGTGTGTGTATGTATGTATACACACACACACACACACACACACACACGATAATATATATACCACGTTTTCTTTATCCATTCATCAGTGGACACTTGGGCTGTTTCATTAATCTGGCTATTGTTGATAATGCTGCTATAAACATCCGAGTACATGTATCCCTTTGAATTAGCATTTTTTGTATTCTTTGGGTAAATACCTCCTAGTGCAATTGCTGGATCATAGGGTAGTTCTATTTTTAACTTTTTGAAGAAACTCCATGTAGTTTTCCAGAGTGACTGAACCAGTTTGCAATCCCACCAACAGTGCAAGAGGGTTCCTTTTAATCCACATCCTCGCCAACACTTGCTGTTTCTTGTGTTTTTTATTTTAACCATTCTGAAGGTGTGAGATGATATCTCTGTATTTTTGATTTGTATTTCCCTGATGATGACCAATGTTGAGCGTCTTTTCATGTGTCTGTTGGCCATCTTCTTTGGAAAAATGTCTATTTGTGTCTTCTGCCCATTTTTTAATTGGATTATTCATTTTTCGGATGTTAGGGAAATGTAGACTTCTGAGGGAAAAGTGTAAGTTGAAGAGGCTTCCTACACTAAATGGGATGTTCTCTAAGAATAAGAACACCTATTGACTAATAGAGTCATTATCGGTTTGGTAAATCACAGGAACCAAATTAAAGATATTTAACATTTTTAGAAAAGCCTTTCCTCCCCACCTACATATAATATGGAAAATACATTTCAAAAAAGTATTTTCTTTCATAAGAATGTCCATATGAATTTCACAGGACACGAGGTAATTAGCATTTCTTGTTTGTTTATTTTTTAAGAAAGAGAGTGTATGTGTGTGGGGGGGATGGGGGCAGAGGGAGAGGGAGAGAGAATCCCAAGCAGGCTCCACATCCAGTGCAGGGGTCGAAGCGGGGCTGGATGTCATGACTCTGAAATCATGACCTGAGCTGAAATCAAGAGTCGGACACTTGACTGTGCCATCCAGGCGCCCATTAATCAGCATTTCTGAAAAATATACACAAATTATACAGGAAAAGGCAAGCCAAATTATGATAATAATATACCAGGAAATCTAATGGGCTAAAGAAGAAAAATCGGGCAAATTTCAAGAATGCATGAATATTGAGTTTTGCCACAATCAGATTATCATTTCTACAGAGAAACATGTAGCTTCTGAGGTGTATTTTTTCCTAATTTCAATAAAGTTAAATTGTTTGTATTTACATTGTGTTAAACATGATAGTTTCCAGCATTCAATTTGTTTCTTCATTCCATTTTGTTTTTTCCCCTATAACACACTTAATTTATTCTGAGGTGTTTAGCTTGAATAGTGCTGAGAATGAAACACTGGAGCAGTGCCTTCTGGAAAAACACGATTAAAGTAGTTTTCTAATTTCCTAACACCAGATCTAGTTAGTTGATTGTTTCCTGAAACATTAACAAGATTTAAAAAATAGGTTCTAAAAATTCCAGTAGATCATAGTGATGTTATAATGACCTTTCTGATTAATTAAATTGACGATTAGAAGGCATGACACTTCATAGCAGCCTGCGCAAGATAGGTTCATGTATGAATGGAAATAGACACTTTATAAATTGAGTTAATAGCACAGCACAACACAGAACACCTTAAGATTCGTTCTGCAAGTAAGTAAAAATGAATTAGACTAAAAGAAAGTTTTGGTAAGTCAAATAACTAATTCTTGGTTGACACAGGAAGGAAAACCAGAAATATAGAGACAAACATTTAAGACACCTTATGAAAAGAAAAATGGAAATCATAAATATGCCAAATTCAGAAACCTGAATGGCATATAAACAGTAAATGCAGATGAGATTTTAAAAATTGAGACTCAGATTTGGAATCTCTAAATGAATATTGTTCAAGGAAAATGGAAGTGAAATGCAGAAGTTGAACATCTAATTGAAATGGGCAATCATTGAAATTGTACTAATTATCCAAAAAATTATCTTCAGAAAAAACTCCAGACTAGAAACATCAATATGTAAAAAATGTTAACTAAAGCACAAGCAACCCCAAATTATCCACATATTAAAGAAGACTACACTGCTAAGAGTAGGACTTAATGACAAGAACTAAAGGATGGTTTACTGTTAAGAAACCTGTTTATACATGAGATCTGGACGATCAAGCATAATGGCACACGGAATCCCAGAAAGGCTACAAAGGCATTTGACAAAATACAAAGTTGACATTCAGTTAAAGATTTAGTAATAAATGGAGGGTGAATTCTCTAATACACTTCTAAAAAATATAATCTGAAACAAAAATTCTGTGTGTTGGTTTGAACAAATACAACACTGGAAGTATTTCTATGACAGTCAGGAATGGGATAATCGCCTGACAGCACCAGTATTCAACATTCTTCTATATATTCTCCCTGATTTTTATTTATAGTTTAATTGCAATTTCAATAAGAATCTAAATGAGATTTTTTTGGGGTGGGAGGAGGAATACCTGACTAAGTGATTTCAAAAGCTAAGATGGAAAAAGAGGGAGAAAAATTTTGGAAATAATGATTAATGGGCTCTTAGGCTACCAGATATTAAATCATCATCCTTATACCATTGGAAAAATAAATTCCAGGTGTTTTAAAAATGTAGATGTCAAAAAAAAACAAAAGAACTAAAAGAAAATATGTCAGTAGTTAGGTTGAAATGAGAAAGGATTTTCTAAGCATAAAAATTGTGGAAAATCACAAGGGGAAATGTTGGACAACAAAAAATAAAAACTTGTAGGTGTCATAGGCAAGGTTTCTATCTTTTATAGTGAGTTATAGTAGTTTAATATAAAAAAAACATTGTAATGCCAAGATGGATAAAAGATGACACAATTTGAAAAGATAGAATTGTAAATACTAAGTATAAAAAATGTTCAATTTCTAGGGACGCCTGGGTGGCTCAGTCATTAAGCGTCTGCCTTGGGCTTAGGTCATGATCCCAGGGTCCTGGGATCGAGCCCCGCATCAGGCTCCCTGCTCAGCGGGAAGCCTGCCTCTCCCCCCCCCCCCCCCCCCCCCGCTTGTGTTCCCTCTCTTGCTGTCTCTCTCTGTCTGTCAAATAAATAAATAAAATCTTTAAAAAAAAAAGTTCAATCTCTAAAAAATTAAATCAGTGAGATGGTGTTTTTGATATTTAAAATGGACAGGTTTAAAAAAATGTTTATTATTTTTGGATATGCAGTGAACTGATATTTTCAAAGAATGATGGAAGTATAAATTTCATAATCTTTATGGAAAGCAATTTGTTTTATACACCTATACACATGTTCTTACTATTTGAACTTGTAAACTAACTTCTAGGAATTTATTCAAAATAATCTGAGATGCAAACATAATTATGCATAAGAATTTTCATTTCAGCAATAAGAACAAAAAATTAAAAACAATTTAAAATCCCTAATGTAGAAAACAGCTAAATGAGCCTTTGCCTCGTTGCATCTGAGAGAGCAAGATGGGTCACCAGCAGCTGTACTGGAGCCATCCAAGGAAATTTGGCCAGGGTTCTTGTTCTTGCCGCGTCTGCTCAAACCGGCACAGTCTGATCCGGAAATACGGCCTCAATATGTGCCGCCAGTGTTTCCATCCATACGTGAAGGATATAGGCTTCATTAAGTTGGATTAAGTGAACTTCTTGAATTGGTCATCCAAGATAACCTACCTTAACTGCAGATATCCAAGATACCTACTTTAATGTCAACTCATTGTACATAAAAACTCCAATTATGAGTGCTTTAATGTGAATGGAATGGTCAATTGATTATAGGAATCTCCTTTTTAAAATGTACTATTTTCTCAACAGTTCATCTTCAACATATGTGGCTTAATTTCCTTCAGTTATATAAAAGTACTCATGCTGAAAAAAAAACAGCTAAATGATATTGCCATAGAATATAATAGTGGCCATTGAAAATTATGTTTGGGGGATGTTTAAAGACCTGGGGAATGTTGAGTGGAAAAAGCAAGAAAAAAACCAGTATGTTTTCAATTTTGTGTTAAGAAAGAAAAGTAGAGGAAGATTTTTTTTTTTAAACTAATTCAGAAGGAAACACGATTATAGTTGCCATCAAAAATCCAGTATTTGCTGTTCTGATTTCTACTACTTTCTCATGTCTGCTTAGAAGCAAAAAACCAAGCACTGAGAAGGAAAACAAAGACTGATTTCAATCAGCTGTAAAAATTAAAACATTATGAGTTAATCCTTGAAATTTTAGCACATGGCAATAAAATGTTACAAGAATCACTTTCATCACTATTCATGTCTTATAGAACTTA